TGGGCCCCTTTAGGGACACTGAAGCCAGCGTGTGTGAGGGTGCTCAGCATCCTCAAACCCTGCTGTCATGGGAGTCTGTTGTGGTTCAGCCCCCTAGGTGTTGCTTTCCAAGGTGAAAATCTTAAAAACAAGCATTATCAATGCTCCCTGATTACTCTTAAATACTTTCTTTATGCCTGCACTCTTCTTGCAGCATTGGCATCAGGCTCCTTCCAAAAAAAAATAAAATAAAATAAAGAAAAAAGGCTGTCCAGTCTATTTATTAGCTTTTAAAAACTTTTGTTAATTTCAGTTAAAAATCAAAATACATTAACATTTTATTTCTGCCTATGCTTTTGGTTTGGACTCAGAAAAAAAATTCATAAATTGCTGTCTTCTTTTTTTTTTTCCAGAAAAGGAGATAGCTCCTGTATTCCTCTACATAAACCTTACACCACTAATAATTTAAGGTTTCCTCCAGGTTAGAATATTTCTGCATGTAGAGCCTCTTTGAAGGTTTCAATAGAGCGTTACCGAGTTTTGACATGTCTTAGCATGCGCCAAGCGCTGCGGTTATTAACGGCGGTGTAGACAAGACACATTCCATCTCTCGAGCGACTGACTCGCAGGTGTCCAGAGCACTGAAGGCCACGAGCAGGCAGAGCCACTAAAAAAACCCTAACCCTCTGCTGCAAGCGCTGAGAGCTGCCTTTATCAACAGTCTCTCAGAACCATGTCCCGAGACAGCGAGTGGGAAAATTACCTGTTTATTCCTATGGTGCAGCTCTTTTTGGCATCTCCCTAAGGATCTGTGTGCCCTCAAAATAAGTTTTGACTTCTGTGGGAGAAAAATCTGTCTGCACCCAAACCCTGTGACATTTGTAAAAGTGTTACCTCTCTTTCAGCAGTGCTAAGGGATTGTGGCAGGTGTCTTGTGAGAAGCAATACTCTGAGTTTAGTACTTTTTAATGGTATAGCAGCTTTAAGCAAAGCAAACTGACTTTCCATACTGACTTTCCTAAGCAAAGCAAACTGACTTTCCATACTTTTATTCCAAGGGCACAGCTTCGGTTCTCCAGCGCAGATCTGATAATGAGGAGTACGTAGAAGTTGGAAGACTTGGTCCATCAGATTATTTTGGTAAGAAATTTCAGTTTGATAAAGTATTATTCAGAAAGACAGGCAAATGGGATTGGTAAAGGTAGTTGTTCTCTTAATTGTTTTTCTGCTCTTTAATGAACAATGAGGTTGTGCCTAGGTCAGATTCTGCTTTCAGCAATATGGAGAGATTTCATTGAAGCTGAAACTATTCCCTGGTTTACACCACTGTAACTGACAGGAGACAGATCCGGAATCAGCAAAACATCCTGAATACATTTGTTTTCAGAGGCATTTTGCACGCATGCATTATGCATGTGTAATGCATTTGTTCTGTCAACAGAATTATGTAAAGTGTCTATCAAGATAAATATAAAAGAATATATTTTACAACCAAAGCAACTGCATAGTGGCTAGGATATGCACCCTTCCGAAAGAGGGCACCGAATGTGTGACGACGAATTTATCCCTGTTTCCAGGTGAGATAGCCTTGTTGCTCAATCGGCCCCGGGCTGCTACCGTGGTGGCACGTGGACCCCTCAAGTGTGTAAAGCTAGATCGTCCCCGCTTTGAACGCGTGCTCGGCCCTTGCTCTGAAATCCTCAAGAGAAACATTCAGAGATACAACAGTTTCATTTCGCTCACTGTCTAAACGATTCCTTTGGGAAAGCTGCCTTTGTGTGACCTTGTGCACTTAAATTTGCGCTGTGCAGCTCCATAACTTTATGAAGAAAAAAAAATGTGTGCATTTTATGTGTATTTTTCTGTTTATGTCATGCACTGGATGTCAGTTCAAATCTTATGTATCGTTTAAGCAGGAAGACAACTGTTTGGATAAGACTAGCTTTGGGGAACTGTTCACGGAAGATTAGGCTTTTGGCTTGCAGGCAAGATTTTTACCTATTGCTGGATCGAATAGCTGAAACTGCGTTTTTAACTATTTAAAATGCATATTAATTTCTATTTCATCATTATTTTGCACCTTGCTTTAAAGTTGGTCTTATCCACCTTTTGTCGACCTCCTTTGATGAAGTTATGTCCCTCTGCCTGTCACTTTTAAAAGACTTCTCAGTGGTTATGGACTGGAGGTTTATGAAATGCCACACGGAAAGTGACACTTGCATGGTTTAAGGGGGAAGGTTAGAGGAAGGTTTTGATCATTCCAGTATGCTAAGGAGAAGTAAAATTTGGGGTCATTCTGTTTGCAGCTTAGATGCAGGGGCCATATTCCTCCTTGTTACAAACCCATCCAAGCTGGCTTTGTGACGCTGAGGATATACTAAGCCAAACAATCTCCTCCGGATCAGTCTTCTAGGAGAAGATTTCAAGGGACAATATTTTGTAAGAATTTTAATGGGGCCTTAAAGACCCTAAATTCTTTGTCTTCAGCTTTTTTAAATGAGAGTCTGCATAAGATCCCTTAAAAGTCAATGACAACTCTCCACTGAATTAAGTGTCTTTGAAGCTACATATTTATTTGCACCAGGGTGTCTTCGACCACTTCTCTATTATATGAAAGGCTGGAGAGATGATGCCAGATGCCTATCAGAGGCGCCAGCAGCAGTTTGATGGGACCCTTTTTGCATAAGGTCCATTTAATTAAATTTATATGCCTTTGGTTTTGTATATGACCAGGATTTTCTGCAAGTCAAATATATGCATCAGAATGATGTCCCTCTTCCAAAAGTCATGTATTGCAATGACTTCCCAGTGCCTGGGCTCCTCCACTGTGTGCACTCAGGTGGCATTGGCTGCTGCCCTGTGGAGATGGTGGCTGCTCTTCATGGAGCTTTTTGCAGCTCCAGGTTCTGTTCCGCTGTGCAACCCTCAAGGATAGGATCATTTTGATTATCCTATGGGGAAGCTTTTCCTTTGAAGGAGATTTCTCCCTGCTAGCAGCAGCAAAGCCCTGCACATTGGCTACCCTAAACAGCACTGCCCACTTCTCATTTGTAGCAAAAGTTTATTTCTTCTTTATGATAGCATTCTTCTGAGTAAGAAAGAACTTTCTGTACATTTTACATGCCAAAATTATGTCATGAAATAAGACAGCAATCTTCTGTTTGAAAATAGAGGTATAAAGTTAAGAACGTGGCTGAAATAATTCATGCTGACAGGTAATGTGCTCTCTTCCTTGGAATTAACACAACCTGTCCTGGAACTTTGCTATTGACTCCCACCAGGAAGGCTCTTGGGTCCCAGTATCCCAGGACCTGTCCAGGAGAGGCAGTTATAGGACAGGTCCAGGCTTTTACAGAGCCAGCTGCAGAACCCAAGGCCTCTCATCACTTCCAGCTGATTAATTTATTTCAGCATCTTTTCAGTGGTCCTACTAATGTATATTAGTTGCTACTATTTATTATGATTATATTATGCTTCTTGCATGTGTAATTAAATATGAACATTCACATTTTTCAACCTTGCAATTCTATGACAAACATTTATATAGGCACCCGTCATTATATATATACATATACACATTTATATGTGGGTGTGTATATATATATATATATATAATGTCTGTGCATTTGCAAAACTCATGATTTGCTTCACTGTTTTGTATTCTCTTGTGCAGTTAAAAAAACCCCTAAAGTTACAAGTCAATCATGTATGCTATTTTACCTATTGCATTTCTGTTGCTGTATTGGTAAAAGCTTGCAAGTATTTGGCATAATATACAAGAAACATTTTACTGTTGAACACCGAGTATTGGCCTCACTGTTTAGAAAGTCACTTGGGCACACACAGAGAACAGATTCTTTGCTATAAACCTTTATAGATCATGGAAAATACTTTTGAATTATGGTTCTGTTATAAGCAATCTCAAGAGAAGTGTAACCATTTAACACCAGGATTCCTATGCTCGAAATGGAACAAAATGATACTCTATGACAATTTAAAGATAATTGTAATATTTGCAGTGGATGATGGGACAGAATTACGGTATGAATAAAATTCTTCTACATTATATGTTGCAGTTGTGGGTTTATTAATAGTGGAAGCCTGTGTGAATAGAAGTCATGTTCTATTTAAAATCTGCGTATCATAAAAAATTTGAACTCTGTTGAAAATAATCAGATGCAAAGGGACAAAAAATAGGCCAAGAATCCTAGAGCTATATATAGTAGTGGAAACCAATCTGGTTTTCTGGAGAATGAGCATGGAGAAAGAAATTCTTGTGTTAAAGCGTAACCATATATGTCTATATGGAGAAAGGGGAGTTCGAGGTGTCTCTAGGACCTTTGTGTTATTTTGTCAGCAAAGCCTTTGCAAGGCTCTTTTGTCCTAAAAGACAAATGCTCTTCCCTCTTTCCCCGGGGCCGTACACAGAGCCCGAAGCCCCGTGTTGGCACCGGTGGCTTCTAGCAAGCAGATGGCTGCCATTTACCCGGTTGTGACCATGGCTTGTGTCCTGGGCTGGCCAAGAACTAAATTCAGGGCAAACTTCTCAGTGAAGACAAGACCTCTCAAGGAGCCACTTGTGTGTCCTGCATCTGGATGAGCCAGGATTGACACCCCGGAGGAGTGTGAGTTCTTGCTGACAGGTTTTTAGTGCCTCGTCGGTGCCACGCAGCAACTCTGGTGCCCGCTGGAGCTCTGGGTGGCCACAGAGCTGGTCGTGTGGTGGCCCAGGCCATTGCTGGGGGCCCGGGGCTCCCTCCGGGCGGCTGCTCCGCGGCGGCCCCGCACAGGGCTCCTGGGCGGCTCCCTCCATCTCAGGGAGATGCAGCTTTCCATTTCTGCAGTGTGTTATTTTTCCCCCTTCCCTATGATTCAGGCAGGGAAGACTCATCTTTCCTGAGAATTACTCACATTATGTAGCAATCAAAAGTGACCGCTCTCTCTGAGGTCCTTCCAGAAGGACATTTCCAGCCCACGTTTGCCAGAAGTGCATCTTGCCACTCCTTGGTGTTATTCTTTTTTCGGTCAGCTTTAATTGTATCACAGCCATTTCAGGACTCCAGAACAAAAGTGAAGACCTTTTTTCTTTAATAGAACGAATTGTGTCTTTAGAGTTTTTACAGGACCCATGTGGCTGGCCATGCTCAGGGTGTGGAGCCGCTCACTGCAGAAGCCTTGACCATTCCTAGCGCTTCGTGGCAGAGGGTTCCTAGTGATGAATCATCCCTTTGAATCCTCAGTCCCCAGGCAGTACCGTCGAGCACCGTGTTACCCGTCCATGGGCCGAGGGGAGCCAGGAGCTGCTCAGAAGAGTAAAACTATCCCCAGACATGTCAGTCTGTTGGGCTGCTGGGTTGCTTCTGTTTTCCTTGCAGTGCGTGGCCTTGCTTCAGAAGCAGCATCGCCTCCACAAGGGTGAAATTCCCTGTGCTGTGAAGGGAGCACAAGGTCTGTGCAAAACACTCCGTTCTGAGGGCTTGGATGGTGCATAAAGCACTGACCCATTTATAGAGGAGATGAGATTTGTTCTGTTTATTCACATTTCTGTGTAGCAGCAGAGAAAGAATATTATCTCATGCAGAGGCAAAACCATGATGATTGCATTAGAGTCTGATATCTTATTGCTTTTTGTTTATTGCAGTGCTATATGAATATATACAGAATATATGTATATACAGTCGCTGCCATGGCAGTGTTGTCCTGCAGAACTGTTGTGAGCAGATGGAAGCGAGCAGGGTAGGAAGACATTTACTTATTGTTACAGCATTGACCCAGTGGGCATTAGCTGGTCTGAAAGATCACACTTTATGTTTCAAAGACCAGCTCATCTTGTGCAAATTATCTGCGCTTACATGCCCTGGCATATCCTTTGTTTGTTTTTACAGCAAGTCGTACTCTAGGTTGTTTGTGCCTTCTTCAAATGCACACATCAGCTCCCACACTCGTAGGGATGTTTCCACAGCCGGAGTAACGTCTATAGGTCCCCGTTCCCTCTGGGGAAGAGGAACCTATTTAGCTGTCAGTGGATCAGTGGATCAGCCTTGAAAAACTCTGGGAAGGCTTTGGCTCGCACGCTCCTCCTCCAAGGGCGTTTCCGTGGCTCTTGGCTGCTCTGCGGAGTTTTATCTGGGATGCAGCCCTTACACAACAAGCTGGCCTGCTCTCAGCAACGCTGCCTGGCCAGAGGAGCTGGCATCTGCAGCCATCTGGTATTTTTGGGAAGGCTGAGGATGTTTTGTGCTTGATCAAGTTCCAGTGCCAGCGTGATTCGCCCGATATCTGAAAATCTGGATTCAGCTTTTAGGAGAGAGGCTGCACTTTGCCTAGGAAGGCAAAGCAGCACGAGTGGCTCCTTGGGCATACGCTGGCCCGAGGGCTTCGCTCCCTCCTGGCTATGTTTTAATCTTTGTTTTCATGCTGCTTTCAGCAAAGTAATGTGTGCATGGGCACACATGTCCCCGTGCTCCTCTCCCTCTGCAAGTTAAAGTGTCCAGAGGCCTCTCTTAAAAAATCAAGAGTTTTCACAGAGGAAAAAAATAATCATTTTGCTCAAGAAGACCACTCCTATTCCAGTATAAACTGTCTCCAAACATGGAACAACGGCGTGCCATTTGGTTCCACGGGCCAGCAGTGCTGAATGAATTGGCAGACGCTGCACTTTGACATGATCTCTAGTAGCCAAGCTGCTACAACAGTGCTCCTCTTTATTTACAATTTCAGTTCAAACTAAAAAGATGGGATTTGTGCCCCAGCCCAGAGCCCCAGCTCTGGTTAACGGGAGCCCAGCACCACGGGAAGCTGCAGGGTGCATCCCCAGCCCTCGGTGGGTGCTGACAGTCTCCGCTCGGCTCTCGCGAGGACCCATCGGGCGCACGACGTATAGACTGATGATGAGGAAGGGATTTTCTCAGCACTGCTCTTGCAGGCGCTGTGGATGTTCCTGCTGCTGGCTCCGGGGAAATCAAGCCTTTCTGGGAAGTGGCTACTCCCTATCCTCTTTATACAGAAAATGTATTGTTATTATTTGAAAGCACTTTTGTATGGCTCTTAGACTACAAGCATGGCGATTGTTCCACCAGAAGACATCGCGGTGCATAGCAGTGAAATACGACGTCCAGTACCATGCAGTATGTATTTTCCAGATAAACTGTGAAAATGGTGAAATGGAGCCGCAAAGCGGGGGGACAATAGCTGCTTTACATTGCTTCGTATGTGTGGAATTTATACACGCCACAGA